TCTCACCCTCTCCTTTCCTTAATTTCTATTTATCAATCAGTCACTTACTTCATCGAGATTCGAACCTCGGACGCTTGCTTGATACACAAGACTCTTAACCGCTAGGCCGCGCACGATCGCTGTTGCAATGATGAATCTTTGGAAGTATGTTTGAAGTATCCATTGAAATAAACTAAATATTCATGAGAAAATAAATATTCATAATGACGTATTGCACTATCATTGGCTGGCTCATGCGATGTCATGGTTATCGATGTCATGCGTACATGTATACCGTACCGCTGTTCCAGACACTTCAATCAGTTTTGACCGGCTGCTTCAACTCAGATCTGCACTACCATGACATGTGCATGCAAAATGTGCTCTAAAAACACATTTTTACTAATTTGTTTTCGCATGTCTACTGTTTCCTGGATTCCTCTTGGTTGAAATCACAAGGTAAGGTGAACATTTGGATGTTTGGCGGCAGGTAAGTGGTGATCGGGTAGCCGAATTTTCCCTGGAATTTCATGACTTTTCCAGGACAAAATAAGACATTTCGTTTGAAATACGAACCGCCATATATACATGTATAGTCTCTGCTTGGCACCAAAAAAAGAAAGAAAACAAAGCGCATGATTCGACAGTAAAATCACACAAGGTTTGTTTGAAAAGAAGTCTTTGCCAAAAAAAAGTAACAGTAATAACGCATGCATGCATGTTCTGTGTTGCTGTGTTGTGTGGAGCAGGATTGGCCATTGCCAGACTTTTTGGTCATGAGTGGTAAAAACCCGATTCAAAAATCAAGTCACTGTTTATTTAATGGAGATTCCTATGATATTAAACATTTTGATAGGTTTGGAAAATAAGATTTATAAAGCATGCTAAATTTTAAAGGGAATGTGCATCATTGGCTTTTGCTGTAATTTTCAGAAATGAACTATTGAGGGGTTACTATAATAGATCAAATATTGTTTCACTGACATGTTTGCAGTTTTGTGTTTGAAAATGCTGGAAAAACCACGAAAAACACAAATGGTGGAGTAGTCTGGTTTCCTGACTCCACTAGAAATAAAATAGATAAATTTATAGATGCCGGAAAATTGTACGGTAAGGGAATCAGTCTAGCTGGCCTGCACCCGTTCATGAATATATAACCAATAGCAAACAAAATTTGGACTGAAAAAAATAGTGAATTTTGAGTAGTTGAAAAATAGTTAGGTTTTCCAACGGTGGTCGGCCGATCACCGTTGGAAATTTATACAAAAAATACCATTTTCTTGAAAACGACTTCACACCAGGCGCCATAATTTTACAGAATGCTTTACACTGTCATTTACCAGCATCCTAGTAAGGTATTTCGTAAAAACTTGGTAGTTTTATTTTTCGATGTTTGCAAATGTTGTATATTCCCTTTAAGTAAATAATGTAAATCTTACAGAACTGAAAGTTTCTGAAACTCCAAGTCCAATTTAGTCCAAATTTGGAAATTGTTGTAGGGCCTTGGAGTAGGGCCTACATTTTATCTCCAAAATGGTGAAGCTCATTAAAACGCCACTGTCTTGATTTTGTTGTGTAATCAGTGATACCAAACCTGAGATTTCTTTCTTTAAAAATTAAATTCGCCAGACTCTCTACATACACAGAGCATAAAGCAAGGAACAGACTTGAGAAAAGAATGGATTGAATGGGTAAATTGTGAAACAGTTTGATTGTGAACGGCCATGACTAGTCCGAAAATTTGGGACTCTCAGAGTCTCAATTACTGGGCCAAGACTAGTGACTAGACTGCGGCTGCAGTGCAAAGGAACATGTTGTTGAAACTGAAAGGGAAGAGAAGCAACAACCTCACCTGAGCTACGGTGATCCACGCGCAGATCTTTCACAAATCTCGTTTGAATTCGCTTCCGATGTTTCTGTCAAAATTCAGAGGCCACCCACTCATCAAAATATTAGAACACTGTTGACTCATCAACGACGATGACGTTTAGCGAGTGAAGCACAGGTGATCGCCATCTTTACTGCATAATATTTCTTAATGTTCTTGGAACGAGTAGTTGGTGTCTGTTTGATGACATATTTAATACCTTATTTTAGGAATCAATAGTGTGCCAAAAATTATGAGAATTGTTGCTGGTAAAAAACGAAGATTTCACTATAGGCCTGTAATAAACTGATAATAAACTGATAATGAAAATATTCATCTGCCGTGATCTGCGTAGAACGTAAGGGCATGTTCAGTACATGGTCCCCATCTACGAGTTGTAATAAACAGACATTTTAAAAACACTATTATTGAGGGCGCTCTTCACAACTAGCGGTTTCTGATTTTCTGAGTCTCAGCATCCACAGCTAGCATTCAAACCTACCTGCAGCCTCCTTTGAGATGTGCATTTGTTCAATACGCATAAGGCCTGGCCTGGGTGGACCTCTTGTGCATAGGCCTACAAAATTCAAAGATGGCTGCTGGCGGGAATTACGGGTATCAGAACCTTGTCATGAGGACACTCAGCTCAGACGTCTTATAAATGAAATTCCATGCCAGGACATCATAATCATACATTTTTCCGCCATTCCATGGTCATTCATTAAAAAAAAAAAAAAAAAAAACCCGCGGAAACACGTGCATTTAACGATTGAAACTTCGATGACCTTGCGACAAGGTTTATTGAAATCAACCCTCCAAAAATGATGCCCCTGATTAGAGCATTGAAGTGGAACTATACACCTAGTCGAGTCCCATAAAATTTGTGCTTAAACTAACTTGAAGCCGAACTCTAGACGAAGTCGAGGTTTACAAAAAAGCCGTCCAGGAGGTTTTGGTGTTTGAATTTATAAAGAGCGCCCGCTTTCGAAAGCGGTTGGTTAACACGAATCAAAGAGAATGTGATTGTCGTAAATCAGAGACAATTTCCAGGAAATTTGGAATAATTTGTAATTTCATAGTTAACGAAATTTTCACTGAATTTGAAACAAAGGCCATGATGAGATTACTATTTCAATTTTTTTCCTGGGTGGGTATAGGGTGATAACAAAACCCCTCAAAAAGCAACCATCACACCGAACCACCCCGTAAGTTAAAAATGTATCCAAAAAATCTACACAAATCACCGCTCAATATAAAGATCACACAGGGAGGAGGAGGGGTATTAAAGTCCAACATTGTTTGTGGATGAGGAGTTGCAGTCGTGCATAAAAGGCCTGAATGAAGGTTTAAATCAAGATTTGCATTATAGGGTTATGACGTCATTCAGGGAACTTAAAAGATGTACTGCCGCGCTCTTCCACATGCACATGTGATTGTTTTTTCTCCCCTAACAAATTATGTTGTTTGTTTGTTCGTTTGTGTCTTTGTTTGTTGGGTTGTTGGGGAGCTTAATTGACATCAAACAATTTACGGTAGTGCTTTGCTGCCGGGAGCCTGATAATTTGCCGGCACGAACGACAAAAACATTCGGCCGCAAGAAAACACATACTTGTTCCGTAGTTGTGGGGACTACACACGAGTTGCCCCATGGTCAGGGGCGGCGGAACCGGGGGACTGGGGGGCACCCTCCCCCCCCCCCCCCCAGATTTACCCAAGTGCCCCTTTCGCGCAAAAATGTGCCCCCTCGAACAGAAAACAAAACTGGCCCTAAAATGTCGGATAATTTGTTATAGTAACCATTTCCATAAATGGTACAGAGAGTTCGATATGAACGAGGAATATGAAAACCAAGGCCCAAAACTCTTACAATGCGCCCTGAAAATGGGCACATAATGCGTAGCTTGCATAATGGCCTGTTGTGAAGAGCGCTCCCTATTTTGGAAGCAGCCCCCCCCCCCCCCCCTCCACTATTTGATTTTACGGAGGCCAAGTGGCCGGTGAAAAAAACGTGTCGACATTTCAGCATGGATGTGCAAGTGCCCCTTTTCGGTGATCCCCCCCCCCCCCCCCCCCCCCCCCCCCAGTTTGAAAACCGTTCCGCCCCGCTGCCCATGGAACTATGGGGACCGAAGACGCTGTTGGGATAGCAGAAAGTTTCCACAACTCGGTCCTAATTTAGCTAAATAAAAAAAAACTTCCCCATATAAACGCGGTGACGGACCGTCCACCACCGTCCCCATCTAGCGACAGGCGCCGGCGGTGCAGGAGACATTCTTTTGTCAAACAGGGGACGAAATAACAACAGAATGTGCTTCTCTGTTTTTAGGCAATTCTCACAAAATAATCAGGCCTAAAATAATGTGTGCTTGAAATTTTAAGCGAGGTTCGCAGTTATAGTATGGGTTTTGTCAACTGAGTTCGAGTGCTCAAAATGCCCAACATTAATAACTATGAGAAATCACTATTGAGGGTTGAGTTAATGCCTTGAAAGTTAGTTACTACCTTTCCACGATAACGGAACAAATTAACTAAAACAAGGTTCTTCTCAAAAACAGTCGCAATCTGGAAATAGCTCACTATATCAGTTATAAAGCAGTTTCCCGATGGCCAGTTTGACGTCATTGACTAGACCGGAAGCTCTAAGTTGAAAGAATGTTTAAAAAAAAAATCATTGTATCTTATACGTCACCGCATGTTATAATTAGTTCTGTGGTTAATTATCAACTACTCTTACTGTTCTAGTTTACTCTTTGTTAAATTGGCAGACGACGTTTTCGCTCAGACAATCCAAACACAGCTTTTATTGCTTGCCCTTTCGACGAGGAAATTGTTACTTTCCGGTTTCCTGAGTTGTGCTGTTGTCCCCGGCAATAAAATGTAATGATAAAAACCCACAAATACTGTTAATTATTGCTTTGTCGAACCCGGCCATCATGATCGGACCATGCGCCACAAACGGCTCTGTGCGATGCGAATCATCTAGTTTGGTAACAGCGCCACTGGTGCAGTGACGCAACCGACGTACGGGGGGAAAAAATCACCCAACCTTTTTTGTTTGGGGGGGGGGGGCTGCCACGAGCCAGTGAACTACGTAACCAAGCCTAGCTAGATACGAGTTGGACTGGCCGCCGTGACGTCACGTCCACTCAGCACACTGCTCGCCTTGGATCACGATCAGTTGAAAACGGTCACTCGCTATCAAGGCGTCCAGATTTTTCCTATGATCAACAGGTATAAAACTCGCGCACTCCAGAGTCGTTATACCACTATCAGCGGAGAGACCGCAAACGATCAGTGAGAACTGCAGCGTCGATCGTTCTTGTCGCGGGAAAGGATCGTGACACTTGTTGCATAGCGTGGTGAGTGCTGAGGCAGTTTGAAGACGCAGGAAGACGCCAGAAGATGATGTCACGTCCAGCAAGTAAACCTCGGCCTGTGAAACGAGCTCATACATTTGAAGGGGTAAGGCAGTTTAAACATTATTTCGAACCAGATGGCCATTGGGCTGTCATGACTAATAACAAACAAACTGATGACGGTTATGGAGAAATTTATTCGGAGCCTTGAGTGCACCATGTCCGAAAAGGAAGAGCTTAAAGTTGGGAGTAAAAACGTAAACCTTAATGTTTACACATAAAAATAAACTGCACTTTTGCAAATTTTGCGAATTTATTTTACTGCATGCACATTTCTATAAAAAAGCGAGCCATTATCCGAATACCGCGTACGTGTATTTCAGCCGCAACCGCATCCAGTGGCCCACCCAGGATTTGGCTGGGGGGGGGGGCTAACAATTTTGTTTTTAAGTGTTTTAAAAGTTCCTTTTTTTGTTAAAAAAAAATGCCCAAAATTTTTGGCTTTTTTTTTTGGGGGGGGGACTATTTTGACGTTGGTGGTGCCACTTACACTCCTATTATACTACTCGAAAATAGGCCACATACATATCACGAAGGCCAAATCGTGGGACTAAAAAAGAATGTAAAAATTTGACAACCTCAAGCCCCCAAGCCCCCAAGTTTCGCTGTGATTATACACAAGAATGCAAACAATATACTCCATCAACATGCAATGGTGATGTTGGATACTTTTGAGAGATTTAAAAATGATTACTTGCACAATTGTTTTGGGTCACTCTATAGGCCTATTTAATAGTATTGAATGTAAGAAGCACATGTGGATAAAGCTACAGAGTCAGAAAGGCGGAACCACCGAAGGGAGGAAACCTTTTTTTTTTAAACATGGCATAACTTCTTTCCTCAAATGAAGGTAAACTTTGATGTGAAAATACATTGGCCGAATTGTGTACCATTTTGACATTTCAATAAAACAAACAGTCGGATAAATCTACCAGTTTCTAAGAGGCTAGCGTGGTTGCAGCCTAGCAACGCCTAAGTATGTGCTTCCTTAATGCGATTAAAATTTGCCTACAGCCCAGACCAAAACATCTTGTTTAGTTTGCATAATGATAAGTGATATAGGCTTAAACTTGCATAGGTCATTTTTATTTCGAAGTTGTTAACCCAACCCTTCAACACTGTTCATGTACACTGTTAAAGGTATATAGGGTCAATTGCATGTATCCCGAAAGTAACCTACCAAATTATTATCAAAAAGCCTAGGGCCTACTTGGATTCAACATCGCACTGGCTACTATATATAAACACCCGTGAAATTATTCCATCTAGGTTTGCTGTCATTTACTATATCAAGAAATGTATAGGTGATATTCAACGATCAGTCAATTGAATGAGCGTTGGAAATAAAGAGTGCCACTGACGAAATTGTGTTTTGCGATCAGTTGAGGTTACATTATTCTGACCAAGATCTTGCATGCTACCCCTTTCCCGGCAAAACCCCAATAGCATACCAAGGTCGTAATTTCACCTTGGTCCAGGGAGTTTTCCACGCAGGTCTCGCAAATTGTAAAAAGTATCAAGTTTACGTTTGTTGAAGAGTCCAATATACTGTAACTTAATTATGACCTTCCTCCATGATTCAGACTTTGTCATTTTGTGGTATAACACTCAACATTTCCATTGCAACTTGACACGTTCACGTTTTATTGCATTATGATTTATTGTCAAAACTGTACAAAATGCCAACTTAATTAACAGACCAACCGGACAATTTAAAGACAGTTATACATGCCATGGTACATAATTATCATGGGCGTCAATCGGTGAGGGACAAGGACCCCCACCCCAACATTTTAAAGCGGGATATCGTTTGGTCTCCCCCCCCCCCCCCCCCCCCCCCCCACTTTTTTCCCCGAATAAAAATTGTAGCCTACTGTAATTATTCTATTACTCAGAATAGCTGATTCAATGACTCCAAACTCGAAAATGATGTTGAAAAGATGATCTTTTGCTCAAAACAATTGGTTTTTACTATAATAGTGGTCAGAAATTGCCTGAGATCGCACCACAGAAATTGCTTTTCTATAACTGCATGTCTTCTCAACTAAGTCCCCCATTTACATTTAACTCCCTACATTTTCAACCCCAACACAAATACGCCCTACCCGATCTATGATCGGGTAAATCAGCTTGTTGTAAATACTTCCCCAGACTGCGCTGTAAAAACAGTGTTGGACAACTTCGGTTGGTATTTTCCCCAATGATGGTCAACATAGGGCCTACCGACTGCCGACACCACTCTTTGGCCGATTCTTTCCAGTAAATTACGGCGTGGGGCTCGGGTCCCGCTTAAGGGCCCGAACATTTTTTGGATTCTAGATGCTATTTGGTGCGATCTGAGGCAATTTCTGACCACTTTAACCAAATCTTTCTGAGAAAAGGGTGGTGGTGTGTACACAATGCCTTCTTTTATTAAAAAAAAAAATTGGGTTCTTTTTTTTTTGGGGGGGGGGGGGGCATGACCCCCGTCCCCCCTCCTGGATCTACCCTTGGAGGTACAGCCAGAAGCTAATCCAGCCTCAATATACTCTGTGGTTCAACTTTTCTTCCTGTCCAAGAACCTAATTTGTACCGGTGTCTAAATGAGTTTTAGAGAATTAAACTATTTTCCACCTAGCTAAACTCAAGAATATCCGGTGTGTCATTTATCATCCTCAATCATCTTCGTCCTAACAGTTGCCATTCACAGCTGCTGTACACACGACAAAAAGAATTGTACACATGCATGAAAACGACGTGTTCACACCGTCGATCGTGGACGTCCTATTGTCCCTTAGTAACTACTTCATTAGGAAGACTCCCATAGGCTTTGTACACTACCTCCATCGCGGACGTATGCTGGGAATCGTGGACGATATTGTTTTCTCTTTTGTTCTCTGGAATTTTTCGTCCACGGTTTGAAAAGATGAACACGCCCCGAGGTATCTCCACAAACGACCATAATTATATAGCGCGACATGCTTGTATTTGACACCAATACTATTCATTCGCATATTTCACACCTGCAAGTCATATTAGGAGTTGTTTAATGCCTGCGACGAGGAGGAGGGGTACAAGCTACTGCTACCGCCAAAACCCATTTGAATGTTACAGAAGAAACCATGTACTCCAAACTGCGGAGTTTTAATACGGCTTTTCTCGGATATCTATCAAAAGCAGTCCCAACTCCGAGCACCCGGGGCTCTTCCTCATACATACCAGAATCATTTTCCATCACGTTGGACCTTCTTCATCACAGACATTCACTGTTGCAGTACGGAGAACTTTTGGTTTTATAGTCTATAAAACCAACCATTCCTATTTTACCTATTTGGCGATTTGTTTGTATTTTTATTCGGCAGAGTACGCTCTACCCTTCGCGGAAGTCCAGCCTGATCGAAGATGCTCGCAGAGACTCGGCCAGCTCTTCGGTGGACGTCTGGGGCCCGTTCGGCCTGCCCAGCCCTACGGAGAACGACGATGTCTTCGCCGAGGAACAACCGAGTTTGTCGCCGCCGGTCGTCAACGGTGACCTGCCCAAGCAGATGTGCGTCTCGTTCTCATCACGTGAGGGAATCGGCTTCGGCTCGCTAGCCCGGGCGGCTAAAGTGTTTGAGGTATGTTATAGTAGTATACGAGATTAAGACTTGTTCGAAACCCTGGATTTGTCTGCGGTTCGGCTGCAGAAGATTATTAAGGCCCGTAATGAAAACGCCATATGGTCTATAGTTATGCCCTCGAGTAACCCGCATTTAATATGGAAGTTGTTTGGCTCCTTAATTACACACAAATGCTCTTTAAGGCCTTCAAGAAGCGCTAATATGCCAGTCATTATCAAATAATTCGCGACCATACTGTTTCTTTTTTGCTTTTCAGATTTTAAATATGAAGCGCAGCTTTTTTGTCTCTCCTGAACTTTGTTCAGGAAAGAGACTATGCAATCATGTTTGTACATACGGTATGTATATATAGTGTATGTATGTATGTGCCATTTCGGTCAAAGTTCGTAAAATTGGTTTCATTTCAAACGTTGAAGTCCAATTGGAACCAAACTTAGGTCATAGATGCAACATGGCAACCTTCATATGACAATGCTGTCAAATGTCACATACCGAGGTCAAAGGCTATCTGAGATCAAGTTGTAAAATAGGCTGAAAATGTAAAATTTGTCTCATTTGAAAAGTCGAAGTTAGATTGGAGCCCCACATGGGTCATAGCTGCAACATGGCAACCTTCATAGTGATTAGTCACTCTATAAAGATAATTGCGAAAGCAGGCGAGACGCATGGTTTCGAGTACCAACTTGTTTTTAAATGGGATACCTCTCCGACATTTCTATCCATACTGAGGCGATTTGCATATGTTTATTGAAGGCATGTGTATCATTTGCTTTTCATGCATTTTGTTCATTTCCAATAACAACACCGTGCACTCAAAATCCAAAGAGGCACGCTCAAAACCTAACCCGTTGAATTTTCAGCTTAGTGGACGTTACACTTTGCGAGAATATATTGAAAAACAACGCACACCTTTTGATCACGAGGCACGATTTAGTCAATATCACTCTTAAAAAAAAAAAAAAATCAGTCAACACTGATTTTTCACGGGTGCACAGTACATAGTACGATCTGTAGTCAAAGTTGATAATTCGGTAGGTTTCTTGTTGGATAAATGCAAGTGATTCTATATGCCGTAAATTTTGAACTCATGTGTAACAAAAGTAGGCGAGTAATTTTTCCTAGAAACAAAGTTTATATATTGAGAGCATGTCAACTTTGACATGGAATCGTCCTAACCGATAAAACGATAGTTCGCACATATTAGTTAAAACAAAAAATTCACCCCTAAATTGGTATAGCTAACACTTTTACAGAACAACATTCTTTCACTGTGACATGTATACCCTCAATGATTCTGCCAGCATAACATGGGTTAAGTGTTCATCCCGAAGAGAAACTCGATCGTCCAATCTTGGTATGAGCATGCACGCACAGTTAAAATACTCAATTGTCATATTCGTAGCTTTGAAACAAAAATCTTGTACGCACATAAAAATGGTCAACTTTACTCAATGTCGACTGACTGCAGTCTGCTCCGACCAGTCGCAGGTTGGGTTACGCCAGTCCGTGTATACCTTATTAACCAGGAAGCCATTTTTGATCGTGTTCCCTGAATCTATTTTATAAATTGTAAACTGTTGACTGGGATGATGCCAGACTATTTTCTGATTGGCGTGCGTACCAAGCCTCACTTCAGTTTTTTTTTAAAATGTGGCTAGCATGAGGGTATGTTTAATCACAAATTTTAAATTATTCATCGGAGCACACTGGTATTAATTTCTAATGAACTTTTATCTCATTGCTTTCATTTCTACTCGCAAGTTCCAAAAATGAAGACTTTACATCGCTTTCAATTTCATATGGCCGACTTGTGAATAAAGTCTAAACATCTAGGCTTCATCTACACGGAAGTTTTCGTTGGCTTCTGTGATATGCTACCATGTGCAGTAGATTCAAGAACATTCATGAAGAATATGGGAATTAGGTATAGTAGTTCTGTTGTGAAATTGTTTCGCCCTATGTCAACTAAACTGCACAATCAGCCCGTTCCACATTATCAATCATGATGATGTTTCAAACGTCAACCGACCGTTTAATTAAACGTCTTCCAGCTGACTTCCGGTTGCCAGAAGTCGCTTAATACGTGACTGCTGCCACATCGTGCACTGTGGTCATGTCCATAGTCCTATGCACTGTAATGCGATTAATTAATTACGTCCAGGGAGCCCACGCCATAACTTATGGCGTTGAGCCTTTTTTATTGTTCCCCCTTCTTGCGGCCAAAGGGAGATTCAACCCTTTAGAATTAGGCCTTTTATTTGATAAGATGGATCTACTATTAAAACAAAATCACCAATGCTTTATAAATCTGGAAAGGTTTCTTCCTATGAGATTAATACCGTAACCGTACGGAATAGCCTGGTGCCTGGCTGTATACTTTAAAATCAATGTTTGTTTCTGTATGCGGCGTCTGGGGTAAAAACAGAATCAAATCGTAGCGGCGTGAGATCCGAAAACACGATTATTTTTTTAAAGTGAAAATGTTTTCAATCTAATCCGGCAAAAATGCAGTATCACATTACATAATTATTATTGTAAGCAAAATGGAAACAAAAGTTTTTTTTGATTGAGGACGTATTATTTCACAGTGAACGTTAACAATTCGTAATTTTGTATCGAATCAGGATACATGAAGCAGGTTTCCTATCCAGGGGTCACTATTGGGAAAAGGCAGGAAAAAGTGATCCTACGGACGAAGTTGAACTACTCCACTGTAGCTTTCAGCATGCAAAATTCAGTTATGTTCTTTCTCTGTTTCCAAGATGGCGAAGGCAAAACTGCTGCATGTTGAGTCGCGCACTTCGACCATCAAAGAGGACGGACTTGAATTTCTCGTGCAGTGTGACGTCAAAGGGGTCAACACCCGCAGTCTGGTAACCTCCCTCCAGAAGATTGTCGACTCGGTGGTCATACACAGGGACGACCTGCCACGGAGAGGTAACAGACGAAACAATGTGCAGTCAACTCAGTTCTTAATGAGTTCTCATTGGACAAATTTCATATTGTTTCGGGATGACCCGGGTTCAAAACTTGCCGTGTGCAGCGCACGACGCGTGCGCAAGGATGCTCCCACATGGCGGTGCAAAAAGAAGGAAACCCACTTTTGACAGCAATGTTCACCTACTTATTGAGCATATTTCAAAAATTCAATTTAATTGTATTGAAATATTGATCTTTAAACATAAGTGACGAAAAATGATTGCAGATGAATATTTTGTCTCTGAGATATGGTAGTTTAAAAATTCCATTTGCCAAACCTGTTTGTCCACGGACGGCTTTATTCCATCCGCTTGACTGAGCGTGATTTGAAGACAAACACGTGGACAATAGTGATTTTGGTGACTTGTATTCAAATTCTCATAATAATAGTATTCTTGCGATTTTTTTAAAGATTTTTTCACCATGTATGGTACAAGAGCTGTACTTCACTACCGGTACATTATAAAAAAAAAAACCAGTTCAAATAAGATATTAGTAAGAAGGTTAAAATTCCTGTCAAAACTGGGTTTCCTTCTTTTTGCACCACCCTGTTTTATGACTACCCACATTGCTGTGAGTTTCCTTCCTTGGATGTGTCTTGTGCCTTCAGAATGACGGTCGGCAATATTGCGATGTTTCCAATGAGTGCTTAGGAATCGGGTACCAAAAAACCCTGATTCATCGTAGGCCTAATTGCCTTTCGTTTTCAGATCAAGTTAATTGGTAAAAATCAATTGTGATTCGACTTTGGCCTTATGTATTCTTGTGTGTCTTGTTAAGCCTTTGGGCATTTTTTTCCCTCACAAATTGGCCTACATTCGTTCAAAATAACGGTGGGAATTTCAACTGATTTGCAGGGGTGTGGTTTCCACGTCACATTTCGGATCTGGATAAATGCACACATCTCACTACGGAGTATGAACCTGATCTAGATAACGATCACCCGGTAAGATTTTTTAAACAACAGTATACAAAAAGTACCCACAAATCCGTTGTAATAATTATTCGCAGGTTGAGTTGGGTAGAAACTTGCTATGATCAACTTAAGGAGGCCTCATATTGACCATACCTTTTTATGATCTAGATATGATTTAGGGTGGGCTTAGTGGAATTGAAGCAAATTAACTATATTTCTAAACAGAATTGTTGACCCGAAAATGTAGGGTAAATTTGGAAGCTTGTCGTCAGCTAACACGCCTGTTTCCCGAAGCGACTAGATTTTTAGTCCATTTTCCAGAAGTCGGCCTAGTGAATAGGTCAGTAATTTGACCATGTTTGCCCTATAAGATCACCGAGAATGTTCCGATGCTGTCAAAGGGAGTGGGGTCATTTGCAAAAACAATATAATAAATCTAAAGCAGGTTATTAAAATAAACTAACCTACCGAAATTTCAGCTCATACCTTTTTGAAGAACTTCATTTTTCTTGACGCAAAGCATTGGTTTCCGTTGAACGCGCGATAATTCCTCTTTACCCGAAAATGACAGCATACTATAGGTGCAGTGATTTCACAGGATGCATGAGCCTATTATTTACTTACAATCAGGTGTGACATTTATGATATTGTGACTGTTTCAAGAGGTTCCCGATCCTTTGGCTGAGAGGTTCATAAATACTGAAATTGTGGTGTTTGTTTAATCAGTTGGCCTGCACAGATATTGCGTTGAGAAAATTTATATGAGATCGAGGATCAACGAGTTACAGATTTTGTTGGATATATAGCACTTTTTTTCCCAGTTTTTAGATCAAATTATTGCTTTCAATTTCAGGGTTTTTCAGACAAAGTCTATCGAATGCGGAGATCTGAAATCACGCGGATTGCCTTTCAGTATAAATAGTAAGTGCAGCTTTGAGTTTTTTGGGAAATATGATGAGGAAAAAAAAAGAGTCTGGAAAGGTGGAACCTATTTATTTAAATTGCCCTAGGTTCCCTTTTGAAACTACAGTTAAACATACCGAATTGTACGTAATAATTATGTACCTTTCATTATAAAGAGATCATTGCACTGTGTTTTTATTTTCTCCTGTTTTCAGTGGGAAGAACATAGAGGGAGTAGAATACACCGAAGAGGAAACAAAAACATGGTAAGCCTAATTTCTTCAGGAAAAAATATGTTCATTTTCTTTTAATCTGAAGAGAAACTGCATTAGAATACTAAATTAGTAGTGCACATTGGCCTATACGTACTATAAATAATTGCAATTGAAGATAACTCCGGCGGTATATACACCATTTTATGTTTTCGACACAGGATGACACACTTATTTTGCAACATGGAGGAGGCCTATTAGAAATGAGAGGATGAATAATTGTCCACAAATCTTTGCTGAAAATGTTTTACTGGAATCATTTTTCCTGCTTTGTACTTCTATGAATGTTATTTCGCAATGAAAAATTTTAAGTCAAATTTGTAGCGTATTTCTGGTGCCGCACATATGACTACTGAAAAGAATATCAGTATTCGATAGACTTCCATATGGAGTTGGACGGAACCCCTAGAGTTTATGCAACATATGCTTATCTCAAAATAAATGGTTTTTGCGTGTGCATAGGCCTACTAAATTGCAAAATGTTCATCATGTCAAGGCATGGTCTATAACATCACTAAGTATAAAAATGATGCTCATTTTGTTCATGAGTTCAGTTTGAAACAAATCGGTCCCTTTTTGTACTAAATCGCATGTAACTTGATACATGATGACCTCACCATGGCGTCACACTGTTGTATACACCTTTAAATCAGGGTGGATGTTCCTACCAAGTTTCAAGTTCATGTGTTGTTCTAGTTGAAGGGAAAGCTGCGGAGAATTAATGTCCAGAATAAGAACACAGACAAAACGGCATCATGAGAAACAAAAGTATAATTTCTGGCGCGGCCAGACCGTTGCAAATAGTCGAATCCAATCCTGGTTTTAGTCAAAAAACTACACGGCTCTGTTGATCATCGCCAAACCACAATGTCTCATACCGCGGCTAGGCTGCATGATGAGGCCTCCAGCTTGGAGCGAAAATCGAAGAGCGCGCCAAATGTTAGCCGGCGCCAAGCAGGATCAGCGCGGTCCAGATCGAGCGGGCCACCCGTCTAGGGTAACACGCCTCAGCCCACGAGCTATCTATCTCATTACGCGCGCGGCAACACTGCTTCGTTTCGGACGATCGTACATACGCATACCACCCGACAGAAAAATAATAATAAAAGGGCAAACCGATATTCCAACTCATTTAAAAGCTTAGCTGTAGGTATTTCTGGTCGTCGATAACAACTTTCTATATAGCATAATGAAATTCCACGAAATTAATATGGTGTGACGTAGTTTTTAAAAAATATCGAAAACTCTAGATTCACTTTTATGGGTCAAAACTTTAGAGGTGTTTTATAAATGAGGATTTTTGTTAATTTATTTACAAAAAAAGGCAGACATTGATTTGTTTTCGCGCCTCTGCAGTGATAGTGCGTGCATTTTGTAATTTTTTTGGTCAAACCTTAACATTCGAAATATTATACAGATGTGTGTATTTTTAACCTACATAAAGACCGCGAACTCCAGTGACAGTTTTCACGTTATGGAAACAATTGATGACGAATGATTCGCACATCAAAGCGAGAAGGGTTGGTAAACTGACAACATTACTGGAAGGCCTGGGGACTATTTATAGTCACAGATCTATAATTATTGGCGTTCTTGATATGAATTTAATTTATACTTGATTGGGCATTTTATCACACCATCCCAGTGATAAACTCCGCAAAGAGCAGAGGGCCTGTTCTCTCCAAGCCTTATTATGGATTTTGAAAATTTTCATTAATTGGCTAAATATAGCGAATCGACAGAAAGCTGCACCGTGGGGCAAGAACCACGGCTTATTATGTACGACGGCCACCAACCGCAAAAGTATACAGGGAAAATAAATTCCACTGTGCTCCCGGCAAACGAGTGTATCGTATTGGTGTCCATCGATCGCATGGCAAGATCGGTTAGCTGGCTTGCTGGCTGGTTGATTCAAGCAAGGAGCAAAAACCAAAACAGGCTGCCTGGCCCTGTCTGCCGAGCCATCCGAAAGGTCGGCCTCCTTCTTAAAATTCGTTCTTTGCAAAAATGCGCCAATTTGGAACAGAAACAAAAAAGAGGCCGCGAATCGGCACCAAAAACACACACACACAAAGGAGTTTTGGGCGTCGTTTAAATAAGGTCAATAATAGAATAAAATAAAACATAAACGCTGATTTCGTCTGCCAGTGTATGCCGACCATAGACCCAAATCTATAATGGCACGCAAGACAGAAAGCTAAAGAAAAACGTATAACGTACATCAGCAGAATCCTGATAACATAAACTGTTGCTTGAAACTGTTCCTAACATAGTTGTAATTATATAATATCTTTGTCAAGGTAGGCAGAAAAAAAATCTTTGCATAACGTCAGAAATCACCACATGAACCGCAGAATAAATAAAAAGCGTTTGATCAATACAGCATGCCACATTGGCGAAACACAGTATAGAAAACAAACCCCTCGCCTACATACGCCTCATTCTTAATATAACCCACCATATGTAACTAAAATGCAATTAAATCTCATTCAACAGAACAATACAGCAGCCCACGACGAATTGACTGCAAACAATCTTGCCTATTATTGGGAATAAAGGACACGGCAGGTTGTGTCAATGTTAGACTGACGCAAGGCTAATCAAGCCTAATTTGTTAATTTAAACGTCACATCGGAGATAGCGTAAGCAACACCACCAACAATTATTGCGCATGATGTTTTTGCGTCCATACTATTGTTGAATGACGCTTTATAAATTAATAAGCTTTCCCTTTTCCTTTTTTTTCCATAGAAGCCTAAATAAGGTTAATAAATACTGAAAACCAACACGTGTTCGGATATGGTGCACATGTTGCAACTCAGCGTTCACAATTAATTTGGAAATTGCAGTTACGTAAAATGCAACAACTATGTCCTGACTGACTACTACAAGTATTTTTCTTTATAAACATCATGACTTGTTGGATAAGTAATCGCAACGTCCATATTGTTCAGTTTCTGCTAAACGCGTCTACGTGCCGTAGCTGCACCCTGCCCAGGACTGAGAGTTAGACTGTTTTCCGTATTTATTATGAATTCAGTTTTCTTTAAACAACCTCAGTTTTTGACAGCCTTTTTTTATTTCATCAATTTGCCGTGGCTTATTGCTACATGGCAATGTGTACACTGAGATTACTCATTAAAATGTATAGCAGCCGAGTGTTTACCGCTACATAATGGTTCTTTGGGACAATTAAAGGGGCATTTCTAATGTCGCTGGTTATCGTCAGAGACCCAACGCCTCAAAAAGCAGCGTGGTCGGATATTGCCTTCCATCTCAATTTAGTCCCGTCGTTGTAGGCAAACAGACGTGTTTGATCTTCGGTGTTCGGTCCGTGCCAGCTTGCCCGACTATTCGGTTAACGTTACACTGACCCACAGATGCGTTTCTTTGAGCAAGTGCATACAGCTTGGATTTTTTTCCTCATCATTCAAATTAAGCGAAACCAAAACGGTCGGAAAACAAGTCAATAAGTTTCGGTATCAAACTCGGAAGAATGTAATTTATACATCGCCGCCTCAAGTCGAACCAATATGACGTCATTGTATCCGCACCTGTTTCCCCCCAGGGGCTACGTGTACCGCCAACTTCAGCAGCTGTTTACTACGCATGCGTGCAAGGAGCACGTGGCAGCGTTCAGGGAATTGGAAAGGGCGGGACTGTACAGGTAGGAATGGCGGGATATCGCAAGTTGCGAAGGGCAAATGCGGCCTGCAGTATATCTGTCCAGCATTTTTCCGTGTAATTTTAAGTTCTTAATTCTGTTCACTCAGACAATACAAGTGAATCCGCATTTCGGCATTCAAAGAAAAATTTGAATGTTCGTGCTGATCACAGAAAACGCAAGTTCCTGCCACACCTTCGTTAATTTCCTTTGAAAACAAAACACGAATATATAAGTCGATTCCAGTGATAATATGATGTGCGAGGAATAACATGTTGCCTTTAAACGAATTCAAAGTGTTGACAATTGAAAAGATATATCAAACCGACTTTGACGTTATCTCTCAATCGATTTCATTTCAGTCCCGATTTCATACCCCAACTGGAGGATGTTTCCAAGTTCCTTCAAGGTAAATATATACCTATTCCTGATTAAAACTGTTGTTTACACCTTCAATTTAGGATTTGTTTCAGTATAGGACACTTCAGTCGTTCATTATGAAAACCATTTATCCTGTTTGGTTCCTCTGACAATTATTAAAAAAAAAAATCAAAGATCTGGGTCCAAAACTAAAACAACAAATCAAAGAAAATATGCATACTTAACCTTTTCCCCCCTTCTGGAGGGTTGCTCTTGTTTTTGTTTTTTGATTGGAACACTTAATGACTTTAACCTAAATGTGGTCGCACTGATGTGGTCGCACTGTTGTCTTCTGTGGGTCAAGTTAGGTCGTACGTGTGGTGGTTTGTACGAATATGCTTTTAAAGGACGAACTCTTTTGACAAGTAAATTGAATACGAAATTATAACATCTGCTGCTCAAAAGTACTCCAGGTTTAATTCCTTTATAATTGTGACAAATCGTTATTTTTTTCAGTTGTTAATTCTGATAAATCGTTTTTGATTCTCATCTAACTTAAATCGGATTGACAGTGCCGGGTATTTTTTTTTCTTTTTCAAATCTAGAGTTTATTTTGATCCTTTTTTCCTTTTTTTGCCTTTTCTCCTTTTTTTTCACGTTAATATTTTCTTTTTTCTTTTTTCTTTTTTTTTCTTTCATAGAGAAGTCCGGTTTCCAACTTCGTCCAGTTGCAGGTCTCCTAACCGCACGAGATTTCCTGGCAAGTCTGGCGTTCCGCGTTTTCCAGACTACGCAGTATATACGCCATGCCTCGTCACCAATGCATACGCCAGAACCGTAAGAGACACAAACAAATGTATTTTATTTACAATTATAGGTTTTCCCTGCTATGAACTTTTCATTTAAATTCACGCACTCTAACATTCAATTTCGTGTACGAAAATTGTCACACGCTTTTACCAAAACCAATTTAGTCATTCACCATTCAATTTTAAAGTTTGGTCACCCTCTTTAGTCACAGGGTCTAGAATATTCGTCAGTGCAGATCAAATTCGTCTATTAAAGCTGTTGCCGAATGGCAGCATTCAGAGATCAGATGCGTCTTAAATAAATCAAGACGAATTTGATTTCTGAATAAACAAGGTTTGGCGTAGACGAGACGAAAGACCTGTGTAGTTTTTTCCAGGGAGTATTGTCTCCGTTGATGGCGAGTTTATCCCACTTTTTTTTTTGTAAAGGCATATATCATTGCAAAAGCAGAATTTCAACATCTCAAAGGTAGCTTGCCGGATTGTTATCAAAAGGCTTACTAGGATAAAAGATCGTATACTGGAACTTAACATCCCATGAAATTATTCCCTCTGGCTTGCTGTCATTGAGAAGCCTGAATCAAGAAATGTAGGTGATTTCCAACGATCAGTCAATTGACTAATTGTTGGAAATAAAGAGTGTTATTGAGGAATTCGTCTTTCGTGATCAAAAGGTTGTCCATGGTTTGTTCACTGTTTACTCGAAAAGTGTTATATCCACTGAGCTTAAACTTGGTTTGGAACATTCTTCTTTGGATTCTGAGCGATGTTATCGTTGGAACAAACAAAATGCACGAAAAGCAAATGATCCTATATGACTTTTATTTCATTTCGTTATCAGGGATTGTTGTCACGAGTTGCTTGGACACATACCAATTCTTGCGGATCCAGGGTTTGCCCAGTTCTCACAGGTATGCGCATTTTTGTATCGATCTCTTCATTACATTCCAGCCAAAATTTCGCTTTAGTGGGTGTCATAACTGTAAGTGGACCTACTTGAAGATGCTGCCGATACAGGTGATTAACAATTTAATTAGATAATACAAAGCATGCGTTGTTGATCAACTCTATTCATCTGTATCTAAGGAGGTAAAAGTCTTAATCTTTGGCATACAGTGACTTGAACCCATTATTTGTATGGTTCTTGTTGTTTGCTTTGTGACTTTGACAGATAGTACGGAAACAACAAAAACCTGCATGCTATTAAGTTCTGAGTGTATTTTCAGAAGCTAGGTGAAATTTTAAGTCAAGATTGAAGGTAGTTTCCCGACCACTCTTTGGATCTGTTACGATTAATTGAGTGGTCGGGCACAACCCGACACTCTCTGTTATTGTGTTGATAAATCTTTCTTTCAAGTGATTTTATCTGAAAAAGTGACCAATTACTTTCACTTATAACTCTTGAACTAAATATTCAATGATGTCAGTTTGACTTTTCCTTCCGGAGCTGCCGGAAGGTCAAAGTTACGTGAATTCAAAATATAGAAATTAGCCTCAAATAAAAGGAAAACAAGATTTCTTTCCATTACCGATTGAAATCGCGCCTCACCAGTTTTCCTCTCATATCTGAATGTTGAAAATTAATATTTGCACAGCGTGTAGCCACAAACTTTTCTGTCGTAAAGTCAGTGCAGAATTTTATAATGCCCATGCAAAAAAAAAAAAAATGAAAGCCATTTTTATGATATGATTAGCATATGTTGCATAGACTCAAAAGACGTTAGAGGCCCCAGCAAGTCTACCAATAGTCCCAACTGGTTGTATGCTTGATTAGCCATCCATGCAGCACCAGATGTGCGCTTCCTGATTTTGTAACCTTATCATGACGTCATCAGGTATCAAATTACAAGCGATTTAAGAGCAAATTTTGACAAAAAAGTTTGCGTTATATCTTTTGAACTAAATAGAGTATCGTGTTCGTTTTTTGTGAGGTTGTAGACTATGCCGTGAGAAACATTTTGTGTTCCCAGACACAAAACCGCTTGACCTTTACTTCCGGTGTTACCGGAAGTGCAATAAAAACTAAATATAACTCAAAACCGGAAGCATTTTACTACAGACACATATGTATTACGAAAGTGTTTAGTGAGCAATGCCAGACACAAGAATAGTGTGATGACGTCATCATCATCATCCGAAAGGGCGCCCCCTAGCGGCACATAAAATATTGGGTTTTTTTCTTTACTTTTCAAATTTTACCAAATCGACCCTTGATATTCTTTGATTAACCATAGATAACTTGGCAAGGTTTTAAATTCATGACGTCATCAGACCGGAAGTTACCTTTATGAGAATTTGCCAACTATCATATTTTAAATTTAACCTATAGTTAACCTATAACTCTTGAACAAAACGATCAATTGTTTTCCAACCTTGTAATCAGAAAGACCATCAATTGATAAACATTTTTTGTCGTGTACGTTAACTCGCTTGATCTTTACTTCCGGGTCTACTGGAAGGTCAAAGTTAGGTCAATTCAAAGCGAAGACTTTAGCCTGAAATCAAAACAAAGCAACAATTCTTCCAAATGGTTTAGGGTATGATCATAAAACCTTGTGTGAACTTGTACCATGTAACGAAGATGTTGTAAATTTTGTTACGTCATCATGACGTCATCAGGTATCAAATGACAAGCGATTTAAGGGCAACTTTTGACAAAATAGTTTGCGTTACATCTTTTAAAATAAATAGAGTATCGTGTTCATTTTTTCGTGAGGTTGTAGACTATGCCGTGAAAAACATTTCTTGTTCTCGGACACAAAACCGCATGACCTTAACTTCCGGTGTTACCGGAAGTGCAATGAAAACCGAACATAGTTCAAAAGCGGAAGCATTTTACTACACACATACAAATTAGGAAAGTGTTTAGTGAGGAATGTCTGACTAATAAAACAGTGTGATGACGTCATCTTTCGAAAGGGCGCCCCCTAGCGGCACATAAATTAGTGTGTGCTTTCTTTAATTTGAAAACCATCCGTTCAAATTTTACCAAAATTGCCCCGTGAAATTTTTTGATTAACCACATATAACTTGGCAAAGTTTCAAATTCATGACTTTATCAGACCGGAAGTTCCTTCTATGATAATTTGAAAACGATCATATTTTAAATGTAATTCTATCAATTGATCCATGTCGGTCTTAGCCCAAAAATAGATATCCATTACAATGTTCACCTTTGCTTCCAAATACTGTGTCGTCATCAAACCGGAAGGTGGGTGTTATGAATACATACGTTATTTTACTTCACAATGAACATCACTTTCCGTTTTTGAATAATGACGTCATCAACCAAGAATTAACTTGCATGTGTATATAAATGTTACTGAAATTGATCACACCGTTAAAGATGTATTTTTTTTACAATATTAGTTATCCCGCGAGCTCATGAATATGGAAATTTTCATTAGCATGAAAACTTAAATGTTGAAATTTCTCTCTTTTACTGCTACAAAGGAGGTGGACACTTCATAGTTACATGGCAAGAAAGCTGTTTTAAATGTATTTAAGTCATATAAATCCTATTACATGTTCCCGTTAACTGGACAGTGTTTCATAAAATAGTTGTCTACCCGACCACTCTGCGTTTGTAACAACAAACGCGAAACTCTAGTTTTATTTATTTCTTTTTTAGGAGATAGGATTAGCGTCTTTGGGCGTGTCTGATGACGACATTACCAAATTGGCAACGGTAAGCATGCAGTATTAACAGTATTTAAAATTATTACCAAGAAATGCAGACTCGATTGCAACCGTGCATTCTCTGGCAATATTGTCTTTATAATTACCTATGCAAACAATTTCTCCAATTTATAAATATTCCATCGATCAAAAACGTGTTTGATTTTTCTACGTCTTTCCTGTGAGAATTTCAGTTCGGTATCATGGGTTCGGCTCTTATTGATCACACTGTGAATGAAAGTTCAATTAAGAGCTAAATGTCTTCATTGTTAAGAAATAAGAAAACGTATGAAGGATTTTTTAAACATGTTTTCTTATTTCTTTTCGTGTTTTTTAACTTTTATTTTTTAATATTTATTTTATGCTAATAGAATGTTTTATTTTGTGTATGTTTTAATGTGATATTCAAGTTACATACTTATTTCGGTATGGTGTATGGTCCTCTGTGTTTTAAACGTATGATTTTTTAGTAGTTCATGTATTTGCAAATTAAACTGTAATTCGACATTTTGGCCGCGAAAGTTTAAGGAATAATAAAACATTAATAATTAAATTTCTGAAGCGTATAGTCGCTGAGGCAACACTATGAAAGAAAGATGCAGCAAAAGTTGACATAAAATCTTGATACCTATTGTTTTTCCTCAGCTGTACTGGTTCACCGTCGAGTTCGGTTTATGCAAAGAGGGCGACCAAGTCCGTGCCTACGGCGCCGGTCTGCTCTCCGCTCCCGGGGAACTCATGGTAAGTTACCAGTTAACGCAAGATAATTGTGGACTCTGCCCAAAAGTTGATAATCTGTGCATGGATTAAGCTTTTCTAAGGAGAGCCGGTTTTCAACTTTGATGTACAACCGTCAGCTTCGAGTTAAACGAAAGCATGAGCTTGCGCGCACGGCCGCAGTGGCCCCCTATAAACGTCCTTCGTGTGCCGTTGTAGTGTACAATCTGGATGTTATGAAATACGGACTCGTTGGTTGTAATGCGCATGCTTTAATAAAATAATTAGGACAGTGACATCTCGTGTGAGGGTTAGAGTGCATAATTATAAGATAAAAGAAACCAGATTTCCTGGGATCCCAAATTTCACATGACACCGGCGGTCTTTGTCAAATTGTCTGTGTTGAGAGCCCATTCGGAACACAAGGAGAATTTACAATCCTAAACCAACAAAATGAGGGGGCTTTCACGAATGATTTAGATCTCTGCTTTGTTTCAACCGGAGGCTTAAACGTGTTCTAATCTTTAGGCCAAAAAAAAAAAGTCTCCGGTTTCTGGTATGCGCGCGCGTCGCCGTAGCCGTGCGCGTCGGCAAAATGAAAAAGTTTTTTTTCAATAAAAGATGATGTCTCAAAACCGCCAAACTCACTGGTTTGACTGGAATCCTGCTACTGCACAATTTTAACGTGTTTTTAGATGGGGTTATGATCGAGAATAAGTTTTATGTGGCCTCTCCGCACTCCCATATATTTGCACTAAGTTTAGTCGGGCACTATTTGCAGTCATCAGCCGACATTTGAAGCAAAAAAGACCGGTAAAAAAAAAAAAAAAGCCGCGTCGCCGCACCACTTTTTGGGCAAGCTCCATACCAGAAACCGGAGACTTTTTTTTTTTGGCCTTAATGCTGCTAAAAGTTAATCGCAAACTAACCTGCAATCTTTGATGTTTCTTGAAGTACGCCCTCTCGGACCAGCCGGAGCACAGGTCCTTCCAAGCCTCCAAGGTGGCTGTGCAGGAGTATCAAGACAAGAACTACCAACCACTTTACTTCGTCTCAGAGAGCTTCGAGGACACCAAACAAAAACTTAGGTAACAAAAAAAGAACACGTTATAATTATCTCGCAAAACATGCCACAGTGTATGGATTCCAATCTAGACAATGTTACATTTTGTTTGCAAAATGCAACACACCTGTGACGTCATGCCACAATTAAAACGTTGTGGTCACGTGATGCCAACTTTCAGCAAACTGTTCTCTTCTGCAGGAGTACTGGATGAGTCAAAAAAGCGAAACCCAAATGTCGGGACCCTTGTTTTAGTGAAGTTCTGCATGTAGCACTTTCAAAATCGAGGATATGAAAGCCCAATTCATAAGCTTTCTTTATTACAAGAATCATTCAAATCACTCATGTACTTTTCGAGTTTTAAAGTTTTGTCCACGGATCACATAAAAGGTGTGCGTTCTTCCAGCAAAACGAAAACAGTTCACACACATCCCTATGTGATTTGTTTTCGTTTTGCTGAAAGAACACACCTTTTTGTGATCCGTGGACAGAACTTTAAAACGGTGGTTGTGTTTAAAATTTCGTAACTTATACAAACTGTTTAATGTTGGCGAAATGGCATGCAAAGGATGCTTAAAATGTTCAGGTTTCCTGTTGGTGCCCGTTGGTATGAAGTCATAGGTAATCATGGTACATATCATGACAAAGAAGTCAATGGAATATGACGGATTGATAGCTTTAAAAGCAGCTGCTTTTACAGCTATTATAAGCATTAATTCGTCCATTTCAACGATCCGTCATGTTCCACTGACTTGCAATTGGTCTACTACATCTCTCACTATTAGGTATTATGTCTACGTATTGACACGTGCGCGATCAGCAATTTTGAAACATTATTCAATTGCATTGCGGCTGATGCATGTCTCTCTCAAATGCATTTTGATGCCCAATATTTTTTGTCATAAATGAAACTTACTTTTTTGACAGGAGAAAACCTTATTTGTGCCGTTAGCTTTTTTAGGCCTTTCATATAAAAGGGGCGATTATTATTTTGGTCATCACTCTATAACTGTGTTCGGTACTTTATTCAACGTTGTACATCATATTGGAAACGTCTAGATGACTTCTTAACATCATCACCCTCCTTCTCTGTCTGTGTTGAAAACCTTAGATCACATCTACTCCATTTCTATCGAATGATTAGTTAGAATTTATGAATCTAGATGTATGCTCTCGTCTCATACCAGTTTGTGTTTTTCTAGGTTGTGTCTTTGTGTGTCTGACTGTTGTCCATTTTGTCCTTTGTCACTGTCTCTGTTTTTCTTGGTCAAGTCCACTTGTCTGTCCATAGGTTAGGGTACAGAAGCATGACGCTTCACCTTATACCTAAATGTTGTAAATTTGTTTCAGTGTTGATCCATGTACATTATTATGTACCATTACAAAATTCATTGCATTTTGCTTTGTATGATAAGTTTACACGACATTGTAACATTTTATAGTGCGAGAATGGCAACATTGAAATAAATGTTTCTCCTATCTCGAAGCTGAGAAGAATGTGTTGCAAATTTGTTTGGTTGAAAAGCGCATACTATTATTCCTAGCCTTTCGCAAAACATTCAAAGGTTGTGACCTCTATGGATGTTATTCCACCCACTCCTGGAAAGATATTATCTTCGTTTTTTTTCCCCTTAGGGCCTTTGCAAGTTCCATGAAGAAGCCATTCGACGTCCGCTACGATCCCTTTACGAGGAGAATTGTAACTCTCGACACTGTGGAGAACGTACGAGATACCGCGAGATATCTGAAGGGTCACTTTAGTGCAGTGACCTCTGCCTTAGAGCGAATTACCGTTCGTTAGAATGCAATCATTATTTTGTGTCCAAGTGAAATGGACGTCCAACCTGAATAAAAAACGAGCCAATTTTAAGTCAGATTGTGATTTCTGTTATCTTTTTAAGTTATGAATTAGATTTTTATAATAAGTGAACTTCGATTCAAGGTATCTAAATGTTAAGCTAGATCGCCCAGAACCAAATGAACAGGCGCTCTAGCATACAGTGTAGTTCAATGATACATATTGGTCAACTTTAGTAAAGTCTAAAACATGCTTCTCTAAAAACTGTATCCTTTTAGTAAACTCGTTCAGTTTTGGCTGCTGAAATAAGTTTTGAAACCCAAAGATTATCAGCATAATGAAAACAAAAATTAAAGGTTTTGAAAGGATTATTTTCCAACACATTTCATGTAATTTAAATCATTAAATGCGCTTTTCAACGACGTACACAATTAGTTCTGCATATTTAGATAATATAAAACGTTCGTATGTTATCCTCAAACCAAACAAATAATGCAAGTTGATTTATATTCCTTTATTTCTTCTGAAGACAATTTTGTTTTTACTTCATAAAACTTGTACATTAGGCGAAGGAATTCCTGGCTTGAGATATGCCTATGTTACGATGCATGCAAGCCATATACGCGCCACTTTCTAGTATAGGTTTTCCCGGCTATTTTAAAACATTTATCATTCGAATTCATCGAATTCAAATTCGTCCATCAACATCGATTTAGTGCACTTCCAATATTTAATTTCGTCTTTTCCCGCCAATTTTAAATTCACTTTAAGCAAATTCAAACTATGAGCACACGTTTTCGTACCGGAGCATTCGATTTCGTCTCGTCTATGCCAAACCTTGTAATTCAGAAATCAAATTCGTCTTATTGATTTATATAGGCCTAAGACGATTCGATCTCTGAATGCTGCCATTCAGCAACAGCTTAGACGGATTTGATCTTTAATAACGAATATTCTCGACCCTGTGACTAAAGAGGGTGACCAAACTTTATAATTGAATGGTAAATGACTAAAGTGGTTTTGTTAAAAGCGTGTGAAATTTTTCTCGGACGAAATGGAATGTTACAGTTGGTGAATTTGAATGATTTTTTTTATTATAAAATAGCCGGAACTACCTTTTCGCGGTTATCGGACTTTACAGCAAAGGAACATTATGTGCAAACGTTTGTTAACGTTATGCACCAATATTATGAATCCGTTCTCAACTTTGTTTATTAGTAAATGAAGATTTTCATATTGATATATACATGCTCAAAGGCTGGCCCTCAAGGAAGATTTGTAACTTATAATACGAAGATCGAGGACTAATTATTTAAAAACCTAGCTCATTCATTATTTTAATGTTACTTAATATTACTGTGGGCTACTTTAAACAAATTTTATTTTTATAACTATTTGGCGGACTGACATAGACATTTACATATCTACAGAGTTGTTGTTTGGTTTTGCAAAGTAGTGAACTTCTTGAAAATAAGGAAAATGTTTTATGGCTAGGTAATCAACATCATTGTTACATGCATCTACATTATTGACCTTATGTGTTAAGGCGGCCGTTTCTTATAGAGGGCACTGTTTTGGAATGCTAGGGTAGGCACATATTTATGTGAAAGTTTTCGTGTATCCATTATTATGTTACTAACTTAAAATATCAAATACCACCCGATGAGATGTATATACCTGCAAAGTATAAGGTTAATTTTAACCTGAACCCTGCGGGGGGGGGGGGGGGGGTTAGGGCAGAAGATATTTAAAATTCATCGTCGTTTTGGATCAACAACTAATATGATGCGCTACCACGTTGTGATGTGAATAATTATGAACCAGACAACCGTCAGACAATGTTCGTGTATATACAGTCAAATTAATGGCCACGGTGTCCTGTGCTTTTGTTCATTTAAAAGTGGATCAAGGGACTAACTTACCAAGGAAATAAATATATGTATGCAAACAATATAATGTTTGAATCTCTCTTTTTATTAATTAATGGATAAATCATCACCGCCGTGTTCCCTGGCTGCTTGGATTTGGAGCGGCACAAATCCAGGCAGGGGCGGATCTAGCTTACAGGAAACGGGAGGGGGGGGGTGATATGAAGGGCCGGGGGGGGGGGGGGGTGAGTGAAGGGCCGGGGGGGGGGGTTGAGCGAAGGCGAGCAAAAGGCACACCCTACTGGGGGGGTTCCGGGGGCATGACTACAATGACTAAAATCTACAGTGATTTCTCCTGCATTCTAAGGCAAGTTGAGAATGAATTAAGGAAGTTTAGCATTCAACTATTTTTGCCCTACTTTATTATAGTGTCTGAGTACAAAAGGTTGGCGGCTCGGGGGGGGGGGGGAGGGTCCCCAGACCCGGAGAGTTAGGAGTGTTAAGCAGTCGGGCTGATACTAGTTTGGGGGCTTTGAATTGGGACAAAATGACAGCCGGAGGGATGATGTCGTTCATGGGGACCCTGTTTATTAACCCTAAAGGGGCCGGGTTATTTTGACCATCTCTCAGCCGGGGGGGGGGGGGGCGGATTCGGCCCCCCCCCCTAAGATCTCGGCCATCGAGTGACGAAAAATTTTGAAACTCGATACATGCATAGAGCAACTCTTCCTTGACATACCCAAGAAATTTCATGACTATAGGTCAAAGGGTTTTGGAATTATGGCTAATTAATTATTCATATGTACAAATGGCAATTCTGCTCTGTGTACACGACGTATATGCGAAAATTCAGTTTTCACGGCGCGTAGCGCGGGAAAATTTTTCGCTACGCGGTAACCCGTGGTCCGATTTTTATGTTTTTGGTATCAAAAGATGCGCAAAGCTCGAGGCTAAAAAGTCATAACAGCTCGGGTCGCGAAAAAATTTTTTTTAGAGGCTATCACGGAAAATGTTGAGGGGGGGGGGGGCGGATTCCGGCCCTTTTAGGGTTAAGGCAGGGGGTATGAGGGCACGGCCTACCCCCTCCTCCTCTCCGCCTTTCCGCCCACTCGCATGTATGGGTCGTTCGTATGATATATACACATTGTTAATAGCAATTGACCTACTTAGATCTGTGCTTCCTTCACAAGGTTTGAAACCATGGCCCTTTTGGATAGCATGGGCGTAACGTAAGGCCTGAGCGAAGAAGTGGGGTTTCACATCTAACTTCGTTCACATTCGGCTTCGACGAGGATTTCCTTTTTTAGAATCCTAACTTTGGGGGATCCAGCTCAATATTGGTACATTTTTTGCTTCGGGAACATCAAATTGTATACTATAATAAAAACGGGTTCATAAACTGTCAATGCAGCCGTAAAGTAATGAGGCTCGTCTAGAACGACGCCAAAGTTTGAAAAACGGCTGAGCAAAACGCTTGGTGGCGCCCTATTGCATACTGTTTGCGAAATCATTAATCAACAGTGACACTGACCAGTGACAACACAGTGACACACAAACTACACATGAACTAATTGTACAATTATGGGCCTGAAAAATTCAGTTGCTCAGAACCTTCGAAAGCCTTCCACAGGTTTCGTTGCTCGTTTGATTATAAAGGTTGGTAGTTATATTATTAACTGTTTCAATTTGATTCCTGACATTTTGTATTGTCATTGACATTGTTGGCGATCTGATCTACTCCTAGAACTAGATCAAGAAGCCCGCAAAATTGCCTGCAGCACAAAACACTAATAAAGTACAAAAACGTCCATCAAAATGCAGCCATTTCACACAGAACCGCTGCACAGTTTGCCCCTATACTCCGTACTTTATCTCTTGACATACTCACGTATCTTGTGCGGAACTAACATAGGTGGATTCTGTCGGTTTTTAGGCCAAAATGATGAAAAATATGCCCTTTCCGCACTGAGCCAACCTGACACTTGAAACGTGCACGCATATGATCGAGCGATGAGTTTCGGTTCGCTCGGAGCGCGCCGCGGGGGGTACGGTACAAGCACGTCATTTCGCTTGTACCGTACCCCCCGCGGCGCGCTCCGAGCGAACCGAAAATCATCGCTCGATCATATGCGTGCACGTTTCAAGTGTCAGGTTGGCTCAGTGCGGAAAGGGCATATTTTTCATCATTTTGGCCTAAAAGGTAACTTGGACCCAACTTATCGCCTTTTTAACATTTGGACATGGTCTGGCGATCGCCAGACCATGTCCAAATGTTAAAAAAGGCGATAAGTGATCGCCAGACCATGTCCAAATGTTAAAAAAAGGCGATAGGTTGGGTCCAAGTTACTCGGACTAGCCTAGCCCCACTAGTGTGGCCGTCGGTATGCTGCGCTGAACCTAAGGCCACACACCGTGGTCCGCGCACTTCTGAGGACGTTTTCATAAAATTTGCAGGGAATTTCTTACATATGGTTGTATTCTACGATGTCCCATCTATCACTTCTGGGATGCTTCGGTGTCATGATGTTCAATTTTCCGAGATATTCTTGAATCTTTCTGGAGCCCATATGCACTCGTGAAATGTCCGGTGATGGCAGCCATTTTGAATGTGACAAGAGATGACCTCAAGCTGTGACGTCGCGTTTATGCAAATTGCTTGTGGAGCGCGCGAGGGCGCGAGTTGCAAATGCGACGGCTGTTTCCTGTACCATGCATTTATCGTCTGGGGGCCACGTGCATTGATCTCTATTCAGGATCTACGGCACACGTGCATTGATCTCTATTCAGGATCTACGGCTCAGGAAACAGCCGTCGCATTTGCAACTCGCGCCCTTGTTCGACAAGCAATTTGCATAAACGCGACGTCACGACGTCCATGACCAACTCGGTTCGTAACCTGGCCTCTACCCAGCTTTTGTGAACGTTTGACTTAATTTCGTGAAGTTAGATTTTTTGGTCAAAAATCAGCTTTTTTTTTTGACCGCGGATATGGAAAACTTTTCAGATTTGAGACATTTTTCTAAAAAACTAAAATGTATGTTTTCTCCCTGGGTCCTATCGGTAGGGAGCTGAAATCTCTCGGGGATTCGTTTCTGGCCTATACCCAGCTTGTGTGAACATTTGACTTAATTTCGTGGAGTTGGATTTTTTGGTCAAAAATCTGTTTTTTTGATGACCGCAGATATGTAAAACTTGTAAGATTTGAGACATTTTGGTAAAAAACTAAAATGTTTGTTTTCTCCCTGGATCCTGACTGTAGGGAGCTGAAATCTTTTGGGGATTCATTTCTGGCCTCTACCCAGCTTGTGTGAACATTTGACTTAATTTCGTGAAGTTGGATTTTTTGGTCAAAAATCAGCTTTTTTGATGACCGCGGATATGGAAAACTTTCAGATTTGAGACATTTTGGTAAAAAACTAAATTGTGTGTTTTCTTCCTGGATCCTATCGGTAGGGAGCTGAAATCTCTCAGGGATTCATTTCTGAACTCTACCCAGCTTGTATGAACATTTGACTTAATTTCGTGGAGTTGGATTTTTTGGTCAAAAATCTATTTTTTTGATGACCGCGGATATGGAAAACTTTTCAGATTTGAGAGATTTTGGTAAAAAACTAAAATGTTTGTTTTCTCCCTGGATCCTGACTGTGGGGAGCTGAAATCTTTCGGGGATTCATTTTTGGCCGCTACCCAGCTTGTGTGAACATTTGACTTAATTTCGTGAAGTTGGATTTTTTGGTCAAAAATCAGTTTTTTTGATGACCGCGGATATGGAAAACTTTCAGATTTGAGACATTTTGGTAAAAAACTAAAATGTATGTTTTCTCCCTGGATCCTATCGGAAGGGAGCTGAAATCTCTCGGGGAATCATTTCTGGCCTCTACCCAGCTTGTGTGAACATTTGACTTAATTTCGTGAAGTTAGATTTTTTGGTCAAAAATCAGCTTTTTTGATGACCGCGGATATGGAAAACTTTCAGATGTGAGACATTTTGGTAAAAAACTAAATTGTGTGTTTTCTTCCTGGATCCTATCGGTAGGAAGCTGAAATCTTTTGGGGATTCATTTCTGAACTCTACCCAGCTTGTGTGAACGTTTGTCTTAGTTTCGTGAAGTTAGATTTTTTGCTCAAAAATCAGTATTTTTGATGACCTCGGATATGGAAAACTTTTCAGATTAGACACATTTTGGTAAAAAACTACAATGTATGTTTTCTCCCTGGGTCCTATCGGTAGGGAGCTGAAATCTCTTGGGGATTCATTTCTGGCCTCTACCCAGCTTGTGTGAACATTTGACTTAATTTCGTGGAGTTGGATTTTTTGGTCAAAAATCTATTTTTTTGATGACCGCGGATATGGAAAACTTTTCAGATTTGAGAGATTTTGGTAAAAAACTAAAATGTTTGTTTTCTCCCTGGATCCTGACTGTGGGGAGCTGAAATCTTTCGGGGATTCATTTTTGGCCGCTACCCAGCTTGTGTGAACATTTGACTTAATTTCGTGAAGTTGGATTTTTTGGTCAAAAATCAGTTTTTTTGATGACCGCGGATATGGAAAACTTTCAGATTTGAGACATTTTGGTAAAAAACCAAATTATTTGTTTTCTACCTGGATCCTATCGGTAGGGAGCTGAAATCTCTCAGGGATTCATTTCTGGCCTCTACCCAGCTTGTGTGAACATTTGATTTAATTTCGTGAAGTTGGATTTTTTGGTCAAAAATCAGCTTTTTTGATGACCGCGGATATGGAAAACTTTCAGATTTGAGACATTTTGGTAAAAAACTAAATTGTATGTTTTCTGCCTGGATCCTATCGGTAGGGAGCTGAAATCTCTCGGGGATTCATTTCTGTCCTCTACCCAACTTGTGTGAACGTTTGACTTAATTTCGTTAAGTTAGATTTTTTGTTCAAAAATCAGTATTTTTGATGACCGCGGATATGGAAAACTTTCAGATTTGAGACATTTTGGTAAAAAACTAAATTGTATGTTTTCTTCCTGGATCCTATCGGTAGGGAGCTGAAAACTCTCGGGAATTCATTCCTGGCCTCTACCCAGCTTGTGTGAACATTTGACTTAATTTCGTGAAGATGGATTTTTTGGTCAAAAATCAGCTTTTTTGATGACCGCGGATATGGAAAACTTTCAGATTTGAGACATTTTGGTAAAAAACTAAATTGTATGTTTTCTTCCTGGATCCTATCGGTAGGGAGCTGAAATCTCTCGGGGATTCATTTCTGGCCTCTACCCAGCTTGTGTGAACATTTGACGTGATTTTGTGAAGTTGGATTTTTTGGTCAAAAATCATTTTTTTTGATGACCGCGGATATGGAAAACTTGTCAGATTTGAGACATTTTGGTAAAAAACTAAAATGTATGTTTTCTCCCTGGATCCTATCGGTAGGGAACTGAAATCTCTCGGGGATTCATTTCTGGCCTCTACCCAGCTTGTGTGAACATTTGACTTAAATTCGTGAAGTTGGATTTTTTGGTCAAAAATCAGCTTTTTTGATGACCGCGGATATGGAAAACTTTCAGATTTGAGACATTTTGGTAAAAAACTAAATTGTATGTTTTCTTCCTGGATCCTATCGGTAGGGAGCTGAAATCTGTCGGGGATTCATTTCTGTCCTCTACCCAGCTTGTGTGAACATTTGACTTCATTTCTTGGAGTTGGATTTTTTGGTCAAAAATCTATTTTTTTGATGACGGCGGATATGGAAAACTTTTCAGATTTGACAGATTTTGGTAAAAAACCAAATTGTTTGTTTTCTGCCTGGATCCTATCGGTAGGGAGCTGAAATCTCTCAGGGATTCATTCCTGGCCTCTACCAAGCTTGTGTGAACATTTGACTTAATTTCGTGAAGTTGGATTTTTTGGTCAAAAATCAGCTTTTTTGATGACCGCGGATATGGAAAACTTTCAGATTTGAGACATTTTGGTAAAAAAACAAATTGTTTGTTTTCTGCCTGGATCTCATCGGTAGGGAGCTGAAATCTCTCAGGGATTCATTCCTGGCCTCTACCCAGCTTGTGTGAACATTTGACTTAATTTCGTGAAGTTGGATTTTTTGGTCAAACATCAGCTTTTTCGATGACCGCGGATATGGAAAACTTTCAGATTTGAGACATTTTGGTAAAAAACTAAATTGTATGTTTTCTTCCTGGATCCTATCGGTAGGGAGCTGAAATCTGTCGGGGATTCATTTCTGGCCTCTACCCAGCTTGTGTGAACGTTTGACTTAATTTCGTGAAGTTGAATTTTGTGGTCAAAAATCTGTTTTTTTGATGACCGCGGATATGGAAAATTGTCAGATTTGAGACATTTTGGTAAAAAAACAAATTGTTTGTTTTCTGCCTGGATCCTATCGGTAGGGAGCTGAAATCTCTCAAGGATTCATTTCTGGCCTCTACCCAGCTTGTGTGAACGTTTGACTTAATCTCGTGAAGTTGGATTTTTTGGTCAAAAATCAGCTTTTTTGATGACCGCGGATATGGAAAACTTTTCAGATTTGAGACATTTTGGTAAAAAACTAAATTGTATGTTTTCTCCCTGGATCCTATCGGTAGGGAGCTGAAATCTCTCGGGGATTCATTTCTGGCCTCTACCCAGCTTGTGTGAACATTTGACTTAATTTCGTGAAGTTGGATTTTTTGGTCAAA